TAATCCCCAGGCATCCGATAAATCGGGCATCGTCAAGCGATACACAGCAAGACAGCTCCAACGTGTGACCACACGAGCACACAAGCATTCCGGCCAATTATTATCTTCTCAATTAGCCCATGCATACATGAATCGTGCTCTCCTCGATGTCATACAATAATACCAAGTGGCCACACATGCAAACAGTCAATCAATTCTTGCAAGCTTCGATATCAAACACGAATACCAACTACCAAGTATCACTAACATTACTTGGCATAACAGAATAAAATAATTTAATTCCAAAAGTCTCATAAATTTTCCACAGAAACTTTCGATCAAACAATTTGCCATAAAATCAATTTAATACGACAATACGCGGCAAAATCGCCAACATTCAAGCTAGAAATCATAATTTGAAATTATAAATTTTCCGAAATAACAATAAATTAAATTCGGAATTAATTAATTACTAATATCCAAAAATAATTTAATTTTCCAAAATGTCAAAATATTTCCTCGAATCGAAATCATTCAAATCATTTCCTAAATACGCCAACTTATACGGCGAAAACCAACATTGGCATCGCAATTTGACGCTAGAAATTTTCCGAAAATAATAACATTTAATTTTCGGAAATTAATTATTTAATAATAAAATATTAATATTTAATCCGAATTTATCATTTAATAATAAAATAATATTTAATTCCGAAATAAATTCATTTAATAAAATAATCAACAATAATAAAATAATTAATAACCTATCATCAAAGATCATCTAATAATCCAACATTAACTTAATCTAAACCTTAATTAATCTACCGTAAGCAAGTTTAACACCCTAAACACGGGATTAGGGGTTAACTTACTCGGCTAACGCCGGCGATGACGCGAGGACGACGGCAGCGACGAGGGCGGTCCGCGGTGGTTTCCGGCTCGGCCCGGCGAGTGACGGACGGGCGACGAACGAGCGCGGCTGCTGTGGGGGCTGCTCCGGCGTGGCTTGGCTGTTCCCGACGACTGGGACAGCAGCGGCGATGGTCGGAGGTGGACGGCGAAGTCGGTCCCGGCAGCGAACAGAGCTGGGTAGGGCGAGCTCGGTCCGGCGAACGTCCGGGACGGCGGTGGTTCACAGCGGGGAGGAGCGGCGCTCGGCGGTGGAGGAAGAAAAGCGGGCGGACCGGCGAGGACACGACCCAAGCGTGGCTCGGTGGTCCGACGATGAGCGGTTTTGGGGTGACAGCGGCAGCGCAGCTCGACTAGGGCGGAGCCACGGTGGCGCGACGAGCGGCCGGTTAGGCGAGGAGCGATCGGCGTGAACAGAAGCAAGAACAAGAAGCCAGAAGCGGACGCGAAAGGGATGAAGAAGAAGCAACGGCGAGGAGGTGGAAAAGAGAAGAAAAGGAAAAGAAAAAGAAAAGGAAAAAGAGAGGAAATGATGGGTTGGTGGGGAGTGTCAGGCGCATGGGGGGGGGGGGGAAGCCGGCGGGAAAAGAGGGGAGGAGAGAGAGAGAGAGAGAATGGTCAAATCGTACTCAAGTGCGATCCGACGGCCACGGTTTAAACCCGAAAAACGATCCGACGGTCCCCGAAAAATCCTAATTAATATTTTTAGGATTTGGCCAAAATGGTGCTAATAAAAACACACCGCGAGGGTGGTCTACCAGTCCAAATTCGCACCCGATCAAAAATTCATTTTTCACGTATCCTGGTTAATATCGAGATTGGCCACACTAATATCGACACCGTCCAATTAAATTCGTTCTGGAATTCCGAGAAATTCGACACCAAAGTTTGGGCTCTAAATAACGGCCAAATTCGATCGAATGCGATTCTAGCGAAATCTCAATTTTAAAAACAATAACCGGGAGTGATCAGTTCCCGGGCGAGATTTTACTATAAGCACACCGACGAATTACACGTTTTATAAATTCCAAAAAGAGGTCGAAATTCGGAATGTCACAACTCTTCCCCCCTTACAAAAATTTCGTCCTCGAAATTTACACCCCAACCCAACTATTCAAACAAATGGGGGTATTGGTGTCGCATCAACTCTTCACTTTCCCACGTGGCTCCCTCGGTCCCATGATGTTGCCACACTACTTTGACAAGAGGAATCGTTTTGTTTCTTAATACCTGCTCCTTCCGATCCTCAATTCTCACGGGTCTTTCCACGTACGACACTCTGTCATCCACTTCGATCTCTTTGTAGTTCAAAACATGGGTCGGATCCGGTTCATACTTTCTTAGCATAGACACGTGGAATACATCATGTACTTGAGCCAACCTTGGTGGCAATGCTAGACGATATGCCAACGTTCCAATTCGCTCCAAGATTTCAAACGGTCCTACATATCTTTAGCTCAGCTTGCCTTTCTTGCCAAAGCGCGACGTTCCTCGCATCGGTGATACCTTGAGGAACACATGATCTCCGACTTGGAACTCCAATGGTCTACGTCGCCTATCTGCGTAACTTTTCTGGCGACTTTGAGCAGTCCTTAGTCTATCCCTGATGACTTTAACAGCATTCGACGACTATTGTACCAACTCGGGTCCCGAAATCTTTCGTTCTCCAACTTCGTTCCAACAAACAGGAGTCCTACAGGGTCTGCCATAAAGTGCTTCGAAAGGTGCCATTTTGATACTCTGCTGATAACTGTTATTGTACGCGAATTCGACAAGATGCAACTGTTCTTCCCAACTCCCTTTGAAATCCAGAACGCAGGCTCGTAGCATATCCTCGAGAGTCTGAATCGTTCTCTCGGATTGTCCGTCTGTCTGCGGATGAAAAGCAGTGCTGTACTGCAGCTTTGTTCCCATGGCGCCTTGAAGACTTTTCCAGAACGTGGCGGTGAACTTGGGGTCTCGATCTGACGTGATCGTCACCGGCACGCCATGGAGACGAACTATATGTCTCACGTACAACTCAGCATACTTGTCCATGGCAAAGTCCTTTCGCACTGGAATGAAATGAGCAGACTTTGTGAGTCTATCTACCACAACCCAGATGGAATCATTACCTCTTTGGCTCCTCGGTAGACCCATCACGAAATCCATCGTGATATGCTCCCATTTCCATTCTGGTATTTCCAGAGGTTGCAGTAGTCCGCCAGGTTTACAGTGTTGAGCCTTCACCTGTTGACACGTTAAACATCTAGCCACATGCTTGGCAATATCTCCTTTCATGCCATTCCACCAATAATATTGGCGAAGATTCTGATACATTTTTGTGCTGCCCGGATGAATACTGTAGTTACTGTGATGAGCTTCCGCTAAAATTTCCTCTTTAAGTCTTTTATCGTTGGGCACACACAACCGTCCACGAAACTTCAAGATCCTATCCTCGGATACTTGAAAGTCAGGTTTTCTCTTAGTTGCATCCATTTGCAGAATCTTTTGCAGCTCAGGATCTGAAGATTGCGCTGCTTTAATCCTGATTTGCACTTCAGGCTCGATTATGAGAGTAGCCATTAAACTCGAGAGGTAACTTACCTCGAACCTGAAATCCGAGTCCCGGAATCCTTCAAACAAAATCCATTCTTGAACCATCATATGCGCAATCGAGGACTTTCGGCTTAACGCATCGGCTACCTTGTTAGCCTTACCCGGATGATACAAAATGTCGCAATCATAGTCCTTAAGCAGCTCCATCCATCTACGCTGTCTCATATTCAATTCTTTCTGCGAAAATAGATATTTTAGACTCTGATGATCCGTATAGATATGAAACCTTTCTCCGCACAGATAATGTCTCCAAATCTTAAGCGCGAATATGATAGCAGCCAATTCCAAGTCGTGTGTCGGGTAATTCAACTCGTGTGGTCTTAATTGTCGGGATGCATATGCTACAACTCTTCCATGTTGCATTAAAACACATCCCAATCCTTTGTATGACGCGTCGTCAGAATCTCATATCCCCCGAACCGCACGGTAAGGTTAGAACAGCGCAATAGTTAGCTTCGCTTAAGCTCTTGAAAACTACGCTCACACTTATCCGTCCATTCGAACTTCGTGTCCTTTTTCAGTAATCGCGTCAAGGGCATGGCTATAGCAGAAAACTTTTCCACGAACCTCCTATAATAGCCAGCCAATCCCAAGAAACTCCGAACTTCAGTTACTGTCGTTGGTCTAGGCCAATTCATGACCGCCTCAATTTTAGCCGGGTCTACTGAAATTCCTTCCCCAGAAATCACGTGTCCAAGAAAAGCCACTCGAGTTAACCAAAACTCGCACTTACTAAACTTGGCATACAATTTATGATCTCGAAGGGTCTGCAGCACTGTCCTCAAATGCTGTTGGTGTTCTTCCAAACTTCTCGAATACACCAAAATGTCATCAATGAACACGATCACGAACCTATCCAAATACTCCTTGAACACCATGTTCATCAAGTCCATAAAAGCTGCAGGCGCATTTGTCAGACCAAACGGCATCACAGTAAACTCATAGTGTCCATAGCGCGTTCTAAATACCGTCTTCGGTATATCTTCCTTTCGAATCCTCAACTGGTGATAACCTGTCCTCAGGTCTATCTTCGAGAATACCGAAGCTCCTTGAAGTTAGTCGAATAAATCATCTATCCTGGGCAATGGATACTTATTCTTAACCGTCACCTGATTGAGTTGCCGATAGTCGATGCAAAGGCGCAACGACCCATCCTTCTTCCTTACAAATAGAACTGGCGCTCCCCAAGGTGATGCACTAGAACGAATAAATCCTTTATCCAATAATTCCTGCATCTGAACCTTTAACTCCTTCAATTCCGATAATGCCATTCTATAAGGTGCCTTAGAAATCGGTTCCGTTCCAGGGGCCAACTCAATCACAAATTCGATTTCCCTTTCTGGGGGCAACCCAGGCAATTCCTCAGGAAAAACGTCCGAAAATTCTCGCACCACAGTAATATCTTGCATCCCAGGTTCCTCTACCAAAGTGTCAATTACAGTCGCCAAATAGCCTTGGCAACCCTCATCCAATAACTGAGTCGCCTCGAGTGACGAGATTAAAGGGATTGAAGGTCATCCTCGATTCCCGACAAACTCAAAACCGACACTCCCTACTGGCTCAAACTGTTTCGTCTTACGATAGCAGTTTACCGTGGCTCGTTGCTTGGTGAGCCAATCCATTCCAATAATCACGTCAAAGTCGAACATCGTCAAAACAATCAAATCTATGCTGTCCTCACGACCACCAACAGATAATCTACAACCAGTACAGCCTACTGCAGACACTATACTATCCTTTAAAGGGGTAGAAATATTATAAACCACTCCCAGCGGTTTCGGACTTAACCCCACTAATTCCACAAATTGCTTAGCCACAAATGAATGCGTAGCTCCAGGATCAAACAAAGCATAGGCAGCATGGTCGTGTAATGAAACCGTACCTGTAATGACGGCAGGCGAGTCCTCCGCCTCCTTCCTTGTGACAGCATAGACCCTTCCTTGCACTTGGGGTCGGTTCCACTGGTTCGGCGGGGCACTACTTGCAGGTTGTCCTACCTGCTGCATTGGTCTTTGAGCTCCCGCGTCTTGGCGTGGACAGTCTCTGATATGATGGCCATGCTGGCCACAACCAAAGCAAGCACCTGTCCTAGCAAGACATGGAGCTGATCCGTGGCGCCTTCCACATAAGCGACAGGAGCCATTGTTGTTGTTGGACACCGGCTTCTTCACTCCGCCTTTCTTGCTAGGAGGGATGGGGAACTTACCTCCTGTCATTGGTCTCTTCCCAAACCGATGATTATCCTTGTTTTGCACAAACCGTGATCCAGACGCGACTGTCCTCTCAGCTAAATTTCTCTCAATCAGCTGTGCCCTATCATATAGCTCATCATAGTTCTTTAGATTCAGAGGCACCAGTTGGTCCTTAATCTCAGGTTTCAACCCATCCCTAAACCTCCTTGCCTTATCAACTGGGTCTTCAATCAACCTTGGGGCATATTGGGACAGCTCAGCAAACCTTGCTTCGTACTGGTCTACCGTCAACTGGTTCTGTCGGAGACGCTGAAACTCATTCATCTTCTGCTCTCGAGCGCAGTCTGAAAAGTACTTATTGTAAAAAGCTTCCACAAAGGCATCCCACACCCGGGCCGTACCTTCGGGAAATACCCTCCTCTGGGTAGCTTCCCACCAAGTACTGGCGTTACCTTGCAATTGGTAGATTGCCAGTGTCACCTTGTCTTCATCTGTACATCTCAATAAGGCAAAAACCTTTTCCAACTCCCTAATCCAGAGGGTTGCAGCCTCAGGATCACCCGCGCCAGTGAACTTGGGCGGCTTGAGTTTCAGAAATTGCTCCACCTACTTGTGCATAGGCTGATTCCCATTTCCATTGCCAGCTAACGGAACATCTACAGGCACAAGCGTAGGTGCAGGCACAGGTGCAGGCTCAGCAGCGGCAGTTTGATTCTGGGCTTGCTGCCCTACTAAGATCTGTAAAGCCTGCAGGATCTGGTCCAATCTAGGATCCCCTGGTGCTCTCCTTCTGGCACCAGCCTGACCTGGTTCGGCCCTCCTCCTAGGGGCTCTCGGTTCAGGATTGTCCATCTCGCAGGATCTTTACAGAAACCTGCTTTCCAATTCCAACAAGGAATTAGAATTCCTGAGCAACCTACTTACGAATGAGAAAGCTAACAACCAAACACAGGCACTTAGTGTCTTCCTAACTCACTATCCCAAAACCCATCGCACCTTATCACTCCAGGTTTCGACCAAACTTGGATCGAGCTGACCTTGCTTTGATACCAATTTGGACGGGGATGTCACGCCCCGAACCCCGCTATGGTCGTTATGATGCGACGACCCAGGACTCGTCGCCGACCCTTTTCTTTTTATCTTTTAATTACGCATGCGGAAACGATCACAACAATCCCCGGACAACAACAATAAACAGGGATAGTTAGGAAAACAATTCACAACAGTCAAACTACACTATTTTGATTTTCGCTTGATTAACCCCTGGGAACATTCTTACAAGCCCACATCGGGCGCTACCACAAAAGCCAGCAAAAAGAGTAAAGGCTAGGGTTAATCTACTCCATCAACAAGTCGATCCCAAAAGCCGCCTTCCGACGCCCGAACCAAACCGGTGCAACAACATGCTAGGGGCCCGAAAAGTGGTTAACAACAACAAATGAGACGAAAGTCTCAATAAGTTAATGCCTAAGCCCCGCTTAGGAGGCTAACTCGCACGGGGTCCCTAACCGTGCAATACAAAGATCAACAAGACATCATTAAACAATCACAGGCATCCTTACCTCGCCTTGGGACACTCGTTGATGAAATGCATATGTCGCAAACTCGAAGCATCTAGATCAATTACTCATGCATCAATGCATCATAAGCGGGCGTGTCCCGATTATAAGATAGAATCCACTTGAGCACGTCCCATACCATGCCTAGCAGTTTCTACCACATAATCGAGCACTATGCATCACACGTATTCCAGCTTATTACGCCTGGGGCCACCACACATCAAGCGATACGCAGCAAGATGGCGGTCTACCGGTAAAAACCGGGCTCCGTCCCGCCCCGTCGGGCACGGCTACGTCAAACGATCTACAGTAAGACGGCATTCCAATACGGCAACATCAAACGATCTACAGTAAGATGGTATCCCGTAAGGAGCATCAAGTCCGGCCTCGGGCCGCGACAAGGCATCCGGGGTATCGACACTCCAGATAATCCCCAGGCATCCGATAAATCGGGCATCGTCAAGCGATACACAGCAAGACGGCTCCAACGTGTGACCACACGAGCACACAAGCATTCCGGCCAATTATTATCTTCTCAATTAGCCCATGCATACATGAATCGTGCTCTCCTCGATGTCATACAATAATACCAAGTGGCCACACATGCAAACAGTCAATCAATTCTTGCAAGCTTCGATATCAAACACGAATATCAACTACCAAGTATCACTAACATTACTTGGCATAACAGAATAAAATAATTTAATTCCAAAAGTCTCATAAATTTTCCACAGAAACTTTCGATCAAACAATTTTCCATAAAATCAATTTAATACGACAATACGCGGCAAAATCGCCAACATTCAAGCTAGAAATCATAATTTGAAATTATAAATTTTCCGAAATAACAATAAATTAAATTCGGAATTAATTAATTACTAATATCCGAAAATAATTTAATTTTCCAAAATGTCAAAATATTTCCTCGAATCGAAATCATTCAAATCATTTCCTAAATACGCCAACTTATACGGCGAAAACCAACATTGGCATCGCAATTTGACGCTAGAAATTTTCCGAAAATAATAACATTTAAATTTCGGAAATTAATTATTTAATAATAAAATATTAATATTTAATCCGAATTTATCATTTAATAATAAAATAATATTTAATTCCGAAATAAATTCATTTAATAAAATAATCAACAATAATAAAATAATTAATAACCTATCATCAAAGATCATCTAATAATCCAACATTAACTTAATCTAAACCTTAATTAATCTACCGTAAGCAAGTTTAACACCCTAAACACGGGATTAGGGGTTAACTTACTCGGCTAACGCCGGCGATGACGCGAGGACGACGGCAGCGACGAGGGCGGTCCGCGGTGGTTTCCGGCTCGGCCCGGCGAGTGACGGACGGGCGACGAACGAGCGCGGCTGCTGTGGGGGCTGCTCCGGCGTGGCTTGGCTGTTCCCGACGACTGGGACAGCAGCAGCGACGGTCGTAGGTGGACGGCGAAGTCGGTCCCGGCAGCAAACGGAGCTGGGTAGGGCGAGCTCGGTCCGGCGAACGTCCGGGACGGCGGTGGTTCACAGCGGGGAGGAGCGGCGCTCGGCGGTGGAGGAAGAAAAGCGGGCGGACCGGCGAGGACACGACCCGAGCATGGCTCGGTGGTCCGACGATGAGCGGTTTTGGGGTGACAGCGGCAGCGCAGCTCGACTAGAGCGGAGCCACGGTGGCGCGACGAGCGGCCGGTTCTGGCGAGGAGCGATCGGCGTGAACAGAAGCAAGAACAAGAAGCCAGAAGGGGACGCGAAAGGGATGAAGAAGAAGCAACGGCGAGGAGGAGGAAAAGAGAAGAAAAGGAAAAGAAAAAGAAAAGGAAAAAGAGAGGAAATGATGGGTTGGTGGGGAGTGTCAGGCGCATGGGGGGGAAGCCGGCGGGAAAAGAGGGGAGGAGAGAGAGAGAGAGAATGGTCAAATCGTACTCAAGTGCGATCCGACGGTCACGGTTTAAACCCGAAAAACGATCCGACGGTCCCCGAAAAATCCTAATTAATATTTTTAGGATTTGGCCAAAATGGTGCTAATAAAAACACACCGCGAGGGTGGTCTACCAGTCCAAATTCGCACCCGATCAAAAATTCATTTTTCACGTATCCTGGTTAATATCGAGATTGGCCACACTAATATCGACACCGTCCAATTAAATTCGTTCTGGAATTCCGAGAAATTCGACACCAAAGTTTGGGCTCTAAATAACGGCCAAATTCGATCGAATGCGATTCTTAGCGAAATCTCAATTTTAAAAACAATAACCGGGAGTGATCAGTTCCCGGGCGAGATTTTACTATAAGCACACCGACGAATTACACGTTTTATAAATCCCAAAAAGGGGTCGAAATTCGGAATGTCACATGATTAGAGACTATACATCTTGACAATGAAAAAAACGCATGATGCGAAGGAAACACCACAAGGTAATAATGAATCGATGTAACCAATGAAACACCGTTATCCATTTTCTATGAATCTCATCCTTACTTGACATAATGCCCGTATGCATCTCACTTGTAATCAGTTGATTACTCACATGTTATTGCCACAAGGTGTGCATCCATCATTGAAATTGTTGTGGTCATAGCTAGAGAGCTTTGGCATTGGAATTGCAAGCTACCAAGCTGCTTTACCTGCGACGAAGATATTATTTTTAGGATGTTCCGTATATGAGCCTATTCAAATTGAGCTTGCAAAAGCTTGTGATTTTTTTCTCTATGTAGATAGTTTACCATGACAAGTGGGTATAGAGTTTGGAAAAAAAAAATTCTCGAGTTCAAATTGGAGCTCGCCCGACCCGACTCAGCCCGGCCCGTACATCAAACTTGTCTACCGGCCACTCAGAAGTGGCAAAGCAATGCAAGTAAAGGCATCTAAAGGAGAGTGTTTTGTTTGTTTTGATCAAACCCAGAAGGGGGGGGGGGGAGGTTTTCAAAACTCCCCTTTTTGACTCCATATTGAGCAATGGTCTCTCTAATTGCTAGATTATTATACTAGAATGACATTGAGATGGACTATAATCTCACGCAAACCCTAGTCACTTTTCAGCCACTAATTGTGCTTGTGTAGCATGAAAAGGAGCAACACAACTCCATTAAGCAATTGCCAACCGAGCATTCCAAGAACTCTGACCCGACCCGATCCACCACTCCCACTTTTCGAATTCAAACGGTTTAATCGTGTGGGACACGCTGCAATTAGCTTTTGTGTGGTGTTTTTCCTTTTTGTCTATTGCCAAGAAACAGGGCCCAATTCCATAAAAAACCCCAAACTTTAGCCTTTGTCCCAATTATATCCCAAACTTTTTTTTGTCTCATAAAAAACCCCAAACTTTTACTTTTGTCCCAAATCTACCCCGTTTACTATTCATCCAATTTTTTAATATTATTTTTTCGAATTTTTTTCTTTTTTCTTTTCTTTTTTTCACCCTCAACCTCCGGCCGGCGAGGTCGGCCCCGCCGGCTGCCCGGCGAGGTCGGCCTCGCCAAAGAACGGCGAGGCCGAGCCTCGCCGGCGGCCGGCGGGGCCGAGCCTCGCCGGATCTGGCGAGGCTCGGCCTCGCCGTTGCTTCAGGCGAGCCGACCTCGCCGGGGCGGCCGGCGGGGCCGAGCCTCGCCGTTCTTTGGCGAGGCTCGGTCTCGCCGTTGCTTTGGCGAGGCCGAGCCTCGCCGGCTACCGGCGGGGCCGAGCCTCGCCATATCCGGCGAGGCTCGGCCTCGCCGTTGCCGGCGAGGCCGACCTCGCCGGGCGGCCGGCGGGCCGAGACTCGCCCGGCGAGGGCGAGGCCGACCTCGCCAGTGCCGCGGGCCGAGCCTCGCCGGATCCGGCGAGGCTCGGCCCCGTCGGCCCCGGCCCCGGCGAGGTCGGCCTCGCCCGGCCAGCGCGAGGCTCGGCCTCGCCCGGCGCAGCCGGGGGGCCGACCTCGCCGGCCCTCGCCTGCGGCCGGTCGCCCGGTCCGGCGGCCGGCCGGAGGTGAGGGTGAAAAAAGAAAAGAAAAAGAAAAAAATTCGAAAAAATAATATTAAAAAATTGGATGAATAGTAAACGGGGTAGATTTGGGACAAAAGTAAAAGTTTGGGGTTTTTTATGAGACAAAAAAAAGTTTGGGATATAATTGGGACAAAGGTTAAAGTTTGGGTTTTTTTATGGAATTGGGCCCAAGAAACAGGAATAAAGTCTAAAGTGAGACCTGACAGTAGCAACTTTTGGTGATGCTTCGTGAGCTGGGTTTCCATTCCTGACACTGCCATAGACAATACATATCTGTTTTTCATGTACAAGCATGTGACTGCATATGGATAACTGGTAATTAAGTAAGAACACTATTATTCTTGGGCAGTGTTTGCATAGACAAAACTCTTTTAAGTTTATCTCGAAGAGCTCGTCAAAGAGAGAAGATACTCTGTACTAATTAAGTGTATTGATATAATTGGTCCATGAATGTTTTTTCGTCGTTATATGATCGTCCCCGAACCTATTTTTTAGTTCAGTTCTATTTTAGAGTTTTCAAAAGTCGACCCAATCTTAATCCTTCATTTTGAAAAAGCCTAATGACATTAACTAACGTAGACGTCAACCTCGTAACTTGCCATGCATCGATTTGTTTGTGTGGTTTGTCCACCTGGAGTCAAATAACACCATCACTCGCTACCTCCATCAAGCTCACACATCGCTTTCCACTCCTACCAAACTCGACAAAGCTCAGATACTAGCACCAAAGCTCAGCTCCGCCACCGCATGCTTGAGTAGATTAGCACTGATCCGCCACCGCCAACATCACCAAAGACCTAAGCTTCAACACACTCGGCGCTGCTCTACTTACAACTAGTCCATCGAACACCAACCCATCTCCCGGAAAATGATATCTCAAGGAATCATAGATAATCCCAGACGAAAGATGCTCGAAAAAGTGGAATTCTATGCTTAGCACCAGTTGCCAAAATCAATTATGCTCAGCCTAAAGCTACTTTAACTCTCGTTTCTTATGTCTTGTGATTCCATATCCGTTAGCACTTACCGCACATGCATGCAACCCAAATTTCATAACGTGGCAGTTCCTTTACATTTTTCTTTTGGCCCTAAGCTCCCGTTCAGCATCAAGTATTTTCACCTAACGACCGTCTCTATCATATTCATTTGGGGTTAACCAAGATAACCTAATAAAGGCCAAAAAGCACAAATCACCCTCCCCCACCACCTCCCACCACCCCCACCCACCACTACCACCACCTTTATTCATACACTATAACTCTCCAAAACCAAAACCACCAAGATCTCTGGCTTCTAACCCTACCTTTCCAGTTGTCAACCTCCCAAATCTTGCCACGTGTCCTCGCCTATCCACTTTTGTCTCTTTTTGGTCCTCTCTCTTTTCCACTTTCGAAGTTCCTTCTTTTCCTTGGCCCCTACTCTTTCGCTCTTTTCCTCTTCTCCTGTCTTCTCCACCAACTAAAGTCGCAACAAACTTACTCATCACTCCGCTCTCTATATAAACCCCCATCAACCCCTCTTGCTCTCCTCCATGCCCAACCACAGCTTATCTCTTGAACTATTCTTCAGCACACATTGGCAAGCGCTCTTTAATTTCGCACACCCACCATTGCATTTTCTTGAGCTGATCATCGAGTTGCTCTCTTGAAGTTTCTATCCTCTTCCAAATTTGGTAGACGATTCTGAGAAGATCAAGAACAAGGTATCTGCCATGCTGAAGCAGATGCTCATGGCCTTGTCGGCGATGGCCAAGTCGAAGTCAATGGCTCTCAGGAGGAAGACGAACGCCCTCCGGACCCGCCTCATCATCTTCTCGCTGCTGCACCACAACAAGAAGTTCTTCGTCAGCACCCTCTCTCACAAGATCCAGAACCTCCTCTCGCATCACCACCACCACCAAGACGAGAAGAAGCCCCGCGAGGAGGCCGACGATGCCGACGTGGCGGCGGAGCAGCCAAGCGAGAATTCCATTGTTAGCTACTACAACAGCAAAGCCCTGGCGCACGAGTCTATGCCCATTCCGACTCACTGCGAGCCGGCCAAAGACGAAGAAGAAGAAGAAGATGATGATGATGAAGTTGACGAGAAGTACCCAGATTTGAGACACACGTTGTTTGATGACATCGAGGACTCGTCGCTGGGTGGGTCGGTAATCGAGTTGGTGAAGCACTCCAAGGAAGACAGAGGAGAGGAGTTCGTGCTGGAGAACGAGATCGACCACGTCGCTGATCTGTTCATAAAGAGGTTCCATCGGCAGATGAGGTTGCAGAAGATGGAGTCTTTCAAGAATTACCTGGAGATGCTCAGTAGAAGCGTCTGATTATCGACCATCGCTAAGGATTGACCATTATTTCATTACGACAAGACTTCATGTGCAGTTGTATCTAACGTTTTAAAAGAAGAAAAAGAATATTAATCTTCTCAATAACAAAGTTAGTCAGCAGTTGTTTTCTAGTCTCTTTAATTTTGCTTTTGTTTCTCGTATTGAGAAAATTATGAATGCCTTCTGGTGGTTTTTGGATTAATGCCAGAAGAGGTGTTGTAATTTGGCTTTCGCCCCATATAATAAGAGACTGAGCTTTTATGGAGACGTGTAATTCTTTCCTTCCTGAAGCAAACTCTTTCTTTTTCCCCCTGAACTAGGGATGAGCGGTTCCAGGTTCCGGGTAGGTTCCGCCTGGAACCTGAAACCTACCCTCGGGTACAGGTTCCTCAAAATGAGGAACCTGGAACCTACCCGTCGGAACATGGAACCTGGAACCTACCCTGTCACAGGTTCCAGGGTCGGTTTCAGGTTCCAACAGATTCTTTTTTATTTTTTATTTTTTTTTAGTTAATCAAAACGAAAATGAACATTCATAAAAAAGAATACAAAAGACAAATTATAGAAAAGACAAATTGCACCATCCCCCACCCTACAACAATGTAAAACAACATCAAATGGCTTATAGAAAATGCAGACAGAAAAAGAATCAAGAATTGGAGTGCCATGAAAAACTGAGCAAGAAAACCATGCAGTAGAGAAGAAATAGCATAAGTTTGCAAAATTAACTAGCTTAAGTATGCTCTTTTGAATCATATAACATAAAGTCCATTCAACAAACCTCTAAATGGACCACCCAACTATTTGCACCAGATCCAGAGCCATTGTGAAGATGATAACCAGGCAATGTACCATCTAAGCAGACTGAACATTGTAGAACAAGATTAAATGAGAACCTCAAACATCAATTTTTTAGCTTCGAATATTCTCAAAAAAACACCCAAAAAAAAAAAGAGAAAAACCTTGTCATTCTACCGTGAGCTCAAACGAAACAGGCAAAACAACCAATGGCACGAGGATGTTAGGAACAGAACAGTGGATCAACCAAAAGAAAATCTCTAAGAAATAAGACGCGAGCCCGTCTTAGTTACATGCACAATAATCAACATCTGGAAAAGCGAGAGCAGAATTCTAACCGGGGACACAAAATAACGAAGCTTAATAAACAAGAAAGACCAAAATCTTGTAAATCCATAAGTTGCCTACGAATGAAGCGAACCCAGACACTACTACATACAGAGAAACACCAACCTTCTTAACTATGAATCCCGCACCACTTACGAGCAGAAAGTCATTAAAAAAATGGGGGGCTGTTAAGAAAAGTTTGAGAAAGTACCAGCTCCTTTGGCAGCAGCACCCTCAATGAGAGTGAGGCCAACCATGAGCTCACTCATGGTTGTTTCCCCTTTGGCAGCAGCAACAAAAAGAGCAAATCTCGAAGGCCCTTAAGATACGATCGCAATCGACAATTAACCAATCGGTTAACTCCCCCCCGCCCTTCCTTCTCTCTCCTCACATTCAATCGGGGACAGATCCACCGCATTTTCCCTCTCCTTACATTCACTAAGCGATGAATCTAGATGAATGTGCACGCAAGAGCACGATTTCACGCAACTCAGGCACGATCGTTGTGACTTAATTCAATCGATCGATGCAAAAGATGAACAGAAGCAATGGTGGGAATTCAAAGAGAGAAGGCGTGAATGGCAGGGGTTGTTCGAAGACGTTACGTACTAGAGCGACGGAGCTTCAGAGGAGGAAGACGGCGGCGAGCCCGAATAATCGCAGCGAATCCGCGTGGGGAGATCACGAGACCTGCGGCGAAGAAGGCGGAGCGAGGCGGAAGCGGGAGAGAACCGCGGAAGCGGGAGCGAGGAGCAAGGCGAAAGCAAGAAGCGGGAGCGAGGAGCGAGGCAGAAGTGGAAGCAGGAGCGACCGAGCGAGGAGCAAGGCAGAAGCGAAAGCGGGAGCGAGGCGGAAGTGGAAGCAGGAGGGACAAGATGGAGGGACAAGGTGAATTAGGGTTTCTAAATACCAAATGTGTAGTTTATGTTTTAATTTTTAGGGATCCGGTTCCTGATCTCGGTTCTTGGTTCCGGTTCCGATCCGGTTCCGGTTCCTGGTTCTGATCCGGTTCCGGTTCCAGGTTCCGGTTCCGGTTCCTATAGGAACCGGAACCGGAATAGCCGGGTCCTAAAAATGAGGAACCGAGAACCGGACCCTCTGTCCATGGAACCTGGAACCGAACCGGACCCACCGGGTCCGGTTCTCCGGTTCCCGGTTCTACCCTAGAACCGCGCTCACCCTTACCCTGAACTGCTGTTGTGTGTGTGTGTGTTTTTCTATCCTAAAGTGAAAGTATCGTAACAAGTTAGTAAGTTAGCACACCTTATGATCACATCTAAGGCTGATAATTTTCGGGAAAAGTGCCAAAAAAGTCCTAAACCTTTTACATTAGTGCCAATTTAGTCCTAAACCTTTTTTTGTTGCAATTCAGTCCTAAACCTTTTGCATTGGTGCCAATTTAGTCTTAAACCTTTTTTTGGTGCCAATTCAGTCCTAAACCTTTTAAATTGGTGCCAATTCAGTCCTAAACCTTTTGTTTTTGTGCCAATTTAATCTTTCCGGCCAATTTTGACCAGAATTTGCCAACGTGGACGCATGCCAGCCGGCGGCCAGTCACTGGCGCTGACGTGGCGCCGACATGGACAACTTTAATATTATTTTAATATTTTTTTGAATTTTTATTTTTTTCCTTTTTTTTCTTTTTTTTCCACTTTTTTTTTTGGTCTCTCCCTCTTCCCTCAGAGGCCAGAGGCCGGCAAGCTCGACCTCGCCGGCCACTGGCGAGGGCGGCCTCGCCCGGCGACCTCGCCTCGGCCTTCGGCGAGGTCGAGCCTCGCCCGACCAAGGCGAGGCTCGCCCTCGCCGGGCGAGGCCGCTCTTGCCAGTGGCCGGCGAGGTCAAGCTCGCCGGCCTCTGGCCGATCGCCGGTCGCCGGACCGGCGACCGGCCAGAGGGAGGAGGAAGAGACCAAAAAAAAAAGTGGAAAAAAAAATAAAAAAAGGAAAGAAAAATAAAAATTCAAAAAATTATTAAAGTTGTCCACATCGGTGCCATGTCAGCGCCGGTGACCGGCCGCCGGCCGGCAGGCATCCACGTTGGCAAATTCTGGTCAAAATTGGCCGGAAGGACTAAATTGGCACAAAAACAAAAGGTTTAGGACTGAATTGGCACCAATTTAAAAGATTTAGGACTGAATTGGCACCAAAAAAAGGTTTAGGACTAAATTGGCACCAATGCAAAAGGTTTAGGACTGAATTGGCACCAAAAAAAGGTTTAAGACTAAATTGGCACTAATGCAAAAGGTTTAGGACTTTTTTGGCACTTTTCCCGATAATTTTCGGTACCACCAGTTGACATGACATATAATTGAGTGCGTTCGTGTCAAACTTAAATAGTCCCAGCCGTAAACAATTCAACTAGCTTATATATAAATAATTAACGTGTTATGTGCGAATTGACCCTTTTAATCCGTTTATGACACATTTAGGCATGCTTAGTAATACGGATATAACATATTCCTCGTGCAACATGGTACTTTCAGACATGTTCCGATGCGTTCATACACATTTTGCATGTTCATGTATAGGTGTCCATATCTCAAATGCGTGAAACTATTATGTTGTGTAACCTGCTAATAAACATCTTGAAATTTGGATTTTGATTTGGTGGGACAATTAATAAACTTGGTGAGACGCAATTAAGAGGCAACATAAATAACAACATGAGGACACAGAATTACCGGCCCTCATCACATGATCCTAACATTACCGATCGAAAGGGAGGAATTGGAATAGCCATATCTTCCGCCATCCCTGTGGTTTTTTTAGTATAGTTCCTCTAACCAGTTTTACGATTGTTGGATCAAATAAGCATCGATTACTTCCGGTGAAGCAAGTATTCTATAGATCGTACCTATATTGGACCAAGCTAATAATTACATTCTCGACCTCTAAATCATTTGAACATTGTCAATGATCTAGTCCAAGAATTTGTTCATGAGAATGTCCAACATATCTGGCTTTTAGCTATAGCCGTGGCCAAATTGGACCCAAGATACTGCAACGCCCGTCCCAGCTTGCACTGGAGACCACCTAGAAAGGCCCACTCAGCCACCCAGTCTCTTGTTGATGAACCATGAAGATGGTAAATCTATCAATTATGTCACACGATAAGTTTTCCATCGTTTGTAATTTATTTAATTTCGGGTTAATATTACGAAAAATTCCAAACTAATACACGTGTGATAAATTCACCCCAAACTTATTTTTTGACCATCGAAAACCTCCAAACAGATACACCCGTGATAAATTTACTCAAAACTAAATTTTTTACCAACCAAAGACCCCAAATTGGTACACTGATGACAAATTTACTGTTGAAAATATGTCTCGAGTTTGAGCCCGAAGTAAAAATCTGAATATTTTAAATTGGATATTTCCTGATATGAAATTGGAATCAGCGAAGAAAGAAAGAATATTATTCTTTCCTAATTCTTGTGGACTTCACGGCCAGAAGAGGAAAGAAGAAATAAAATTAAAAGAAAAGAAAAGCATGGCTGGATTTTGTTTCCTGATCCTAATCTGCGTGGGCTTCTTTTGTTGACCAACATGGGACTACTTTTCAGGCGTTGGATATACGTGTATATATATGTTTATGGTCAGGGGATGCTTTTTCAGAAAAGACTACTTGAAGCGCCGCTTGCTTGCGAGTGCTTGGCAGTGGGTTCGTGATTTTGTTCGTGAAATTACACCAAGAGTTTAAGTGTTCGTAGCGATTAAATCTTGTAGCAAGATTTGTATATAATTCTTTCGCGAGATTGAGAGATTATTTTGTGAGGAATTGTGGGGCTAAACACTGTGTGAGTTATTGGGTGTAATTGGAGCTTGGAAAACACTTAGAGTGTTTGAGTGACTCGAGTGTGGTTGTAATCTCCGTTGTATCGCTTGATCTATAGTAGAATTCCGTGCTGCTCTCCCCGTGGACGTAGGTCACTACGACCGAATCACGTAAATCTGGTGTCCGATTTATTTTCTTATTCTGTCAATTTTATTGTTCGATCGCTTGA